GAGCTTACTGCATTGTAAAGAAAATTGAAACCACACTTACTGGATGTAGGCTAGGGAGGAAATATTGAGTCGAGCCAAAGACAATAAACAAAGGCGCTGCTTGTGAGGCAACCCAATGGGAGTTCGTTCTTTTTCTTCTGCCTTTTACTTTTGCATTTTTATTCTAGTTAATTTTATCATTTTCTTTGCTTTACCATTCAATTGAGTACTTTCAGGCTTCTTATACCTCAAGTTTCTGTTGACTCACTGCCATGCTCAGGTGACATCTTTCCCTTATTTTCTTTCGTATTTATGCTTAAACATTGAGGCCAATATTTTAATTACGTTTCGGGTGGAGCATGAGCTTTCATTCATCTATTCATGCATCTCTTTATTGCAATTTTTCGCATGTTTGTGTGTTTTTTTTTTTAAAAAAAAGTTCAATTTTTTTATCTTTCAGCATTAAATTTTAATTATTGCTTTGTGTACTTGTGTGGGTTTAATAAATGTGCCAGCTATGATGTAATTATTGGAATAGGTGTCAGTTGTGAATGATGCAAATAGTGCAGTATGAGAGTAGTCTAAACCTGTTTATGTAGCACTTGATATTTCCTATGCACGTCACTTATGTTTGGCATATTAAGTAGTGATTCGGTTCATTTTGTAGAGGATAGTGGAACTTAGTGATACAACCTAATAACCTTTAGTGTAGTATTCCATAAATTCAAATATATGCTAGTTTGAAGATGATTGAACTGTTACAGGAAAACATTGAGATAAGTAGGGATTCCATGCATGAAAACCTTGTGTGGATTGTCTGAACCTCATTGAGATAAAAACGAGGTGAAAGTTTTAAGTTAGAGGTTTGTTTTAAAAATTGGATGTCTAAAAGAAAAGGGGTATTGTACTAATCTTTGAGTACATAAAAAACATCTTTTCGAGCCTATATAACTCGGGTGATTAAGCCTATGAGGGTGATTTAAAATCTGGTGCCCTATAGTCATCTGACTTGGGAGTTATCGGCCTAAAGCTCGTTACATGGGTTATATAGAAAACAAATGAGAAGATACTCAAATAAAAAGAGAAAAAGAAATGGAGAAAAAAATGAAAAGAAAAAAAAATATATTCAAATACATTGGTTACGCCCCAAACATTCAGTTGAAAAAATTACACATTTGAAGAGAAGTAAGTAACTTAGTCTAGTTTTAAGGGTTAAAGCAATCAAAAATATAGGAAAATCCTGATTTGTTGAAGTGTGGACTTGTAGGAGTAATGTCTATCCAAACTAAAAGGTGGTAAGGAACAGAATTGAATGGATTCAATTTACGATACACCCCGGGAAAATTGAATGAAAAGCATAAGTTTGGGGGTGTGTGTATCTCTCGAGCGAGGAAAGTACATACTTGACTACTTTTGGTCAGGGATTGAACCAATCATAATCTTAATATGTTGACATGAGTTTTCACACACACACGTCAAGTTATGCATATAACAGGTGGAGACTGATTTAATTTTTGCACTGTTGTAATTGTTCATTTGTCTGACTACCAAATTTCAAACTTGAGACACGACATAATGTTAAACCATATTGTTTGTAGAGTTAAGTTATATTGTTGTCATTTGAGGACAAACAATAGTTCAAGTTTGGGGGAGTTTGATAAGTACATTTTACATATTTATTTTACTGTTAAAAGATGAGCAATTGTTGATTAATATGTTGAAATATAGTTTAATTCTATGTAATTCATATTTTGCAGGACAAGTGATGAATGTAGTTAAAATAAAGAGAAACAAGTGAAAAATGACCAAAATGGAAGAAAGTGAAAGTTCAGGGACTAAAGTGAAAATACTCAAAAATTATGTCGGGACTCACGATGAAGGTTCGAGAGTGCTAAGGGTCGATTGGAAGCAATTAGAAGTCAAAAAGGAATAGAATATTATCAAAATCAATTTCCAATTCGCACAAGATATATTCCAGATTTTTAGTTGAAAATTGAGACCCATTTTTGGTATAGTAAAGTTCGAATTGGAAAAGATCTATTTCTAACAAAGTTTTAGCTCTTCGAGTTATCTTTCTAACCCATTTTGAATCGTCTAAATCGAATATTGGAAGAGAAGGTTATAACCAAATTACTGACTGCTGTGCAAAGACAAAAAAAATTAGTGCGCGAAATGAACTTTCCTTATTCGATTATAACTCTTTTGGAAACCAATTTGGACGTGATTTTCATCTAATTTTCGATTCTTAAAAATACTTAACAGCAGAATACATATGGAGGAGGCTCCCATACACCATTCTTCTCCTCTTTGGCTCAAGAAACACATGATGAACTAAAGATATTGGTGAAACTACGAAGGAAATCAATTGGAATTGGTGATTTCATGTCTTTTATTCATTTAATTTGATCTTGTCATTGTCAAACAATACTAGAATTTAGATTTTCATTCTCTTGAATTTATATTAAAATCGGTTTAATATTTACAAGATTTTTCATGGATTCAATCATACTTTTTCCATTATTCAATCAAACTATTTATTGAGTTTCAATTTTAATTATTTAATATTGAGATTAGTTTAACAATTATTATATCCTTTATAAATCCAGTCATGCTTCTTCTATCGTTAGATTAAACTAGTTGTTGAATTTTAATCTCAATTTCACTTTATTCGCGGATTAATTACTGCATTATTCTTGATGTATATGATCGATCTTTGATCTTGTTCCAATAAAATTGTGCGAATATGTCTTAAATCTAAATTCTAGGATTACATTTATATATTAAATTGATTTTCACGATATATCTTCCAATTAGAGTGTCAGGATAAAAGCCTCTAATTGTGTTATAAAAATGAATAATTGATATGATTGACCAAATCCAATTGAGGGAATTCCGACGCTTCACTGCTTCGAATTATTGATTTTGATTTCACCTTTCAACATTAAATTTTATTACACATTTGAGAGAATAATTCAGTCTTTTTGATCCTTTAAATATTCTTCCATCTCTCTGTGGATACGATACCCCAAAACTGTGCTACAATTACCGCGTTATTCTTTGGGCGTAATCAGTTGCGCAGAAGCCTCAAGATTGGAATTTACGTGGAGCTACACTTGGTTTATTTTCACGGACAGTTTAGAGTTGGAACTATTAAAAAAATTGATTTGATTTGATTTTTTATTTTTTTTTCAAAAATTTCAATTCATGCGGCCAAACAAAATGCAGTTATGTTAAGTGAATTCCAAACATCAAAAGTCAAACCTTAATTATCATTTCTCATAGCAATAAACACCAAATGGTGTATTGAGTTGTATCAGCATAGGGATATTTAAGTCCTTATACATATTTCTTGTGTTAAGTTCAGTTAGACAGCGTCTGTGCATATATAGGTGGATGCTTGTGTAATTTGTTTGTTGAATGCAATAACAGTTTTTCCCGCCACATTTCCATTCTCTTATTTTAGAAATTTCTCTGTAGCAAGCTTATCATAGTATCAGAGCACTGATGCTTCTCTGCGATGGCGACTCAAAAAGAGAATCAAAATCAATCTAATCAAGCAAATCCACCAGTTGATTTATGTGCTGGAGAAGTGGTGACTGGAGATGTGGCTTCTCTTGTTAATCAATTGGTAAGTTATCCAAGTAGTCCGTATTATCATCATTATGGTGACAACACATGAATGCAACTCATCACTGTCATGCTCACTCAGGAGAATTATGCGACATAGAGTCGTGCGGTTGTTATGGCGCTCAGTGTCAAAAATAAGGAAGGATTTATCAATGGATTAATCGTAAAGCCTTCTTTAGATGATCTTCTCTACGGCGCTTCACGCTTGGAGAAGATGCAATCGTGTGGTCTCTTTATGGATTATCAATTCCATTCAAAAGGAGTTATACCCCAGTGTAATGCACAAGGATTCTGCAAGGGATATCTGGATTGAACGCAGGGATCGCTATAGCCAAAGTAATGGTCCTCGCATATATGAACTTAAGAAGAAAATTGCTTCGATGTCCCAAGCAAATAGTTCTGTCAACTCTTATTTCAATCGATTCAAGGGACTTCGGGAAGAGCTGGACAAGGTCTATTTCTTAGTAACAAATTTGATCTATACCTTAAAGGATTTTGTGATGCATATTGGGCATCATGCTTGGATATAAGAAGATCTGTTACAAGCTATTGCATATTTTTTGGGGATTCACTAGTGTCTTGGAAGTCGAAGAAGCAGCACATGATTTCAAGATCATTAGCCGAAGTTGAATATCGGTCCATGGCAGCTGCAGTTTGTGAGTTAAGTTGGTTGAAGAACATACTTAGTGATGTAAGTGTTGTACATACGAAAGCATCGTTACTTTTCTGTGACAATCAATCTGCTATACATATAGCTAGCAATCCAGTATTTCATGAAAGAACAAAACATATAGAAATTGATTGCCATCTTGTAAGGGATAAAGTGCACGCAGGAGAAGTAAAGATGGTGCACAGGGCGTCATAAGATCAATTGGCGGATTTGCTTACTAAACCTTTAGGGGGAACAAAATTCAAGTCATTGTTAAACAAGATGGGAATATTGAATATACATTCTCCATCTTGAGGGGGAGTATTGAGCTGTATTAGCATATGGGTATTTAAGTCCTTGTACATGGTGCACAAAGTACAAACAGTTTTGTTCTAAGGAGAAGAGATGTAGGAAGATTTATTCCTAATAAATTGACCATACATATAAACAGATATACTAGTATAATATGGAGAATTAGATAGAATTGGATAGTACTAATAAGAAAAAGTAATAATTATTTTTATTATATTGTTCAGTTCTGGCTAATACTACGTACAAAACGCTGCAGTATATGATCAGTAATTTACACTTTATGATCTCCCAATATATGGAAGATCCATCCTTTCAAGCTAGATGGAGCAGAAACTGATTAGAACGAATATGCCTAAAACCCACCGAAAAACACAAAAAGATTAACCTAAAGGCTAAAACTGCTGATTTTTTTTGAAGAAAAATACTTTTTTCTTCAAAACAAATCAGCAGTTTCCCCCAAAGACATGTCCATTAGGTATCCTTCCGGTCCTTCCGCAGAAGCATCATCAAAGAGCCAGTTTTCCAGCAAAGTAAGGGGCATTTGGATGTCTAAATTTGTCTTGCTCTCCTCCTGTAAAATCCCAGTCTCTGGTGTGAAATTTGCAGCAGTAAATTTGAGTTCGCCCTCAGATTGAGAAACATCGGAGTTGGAAGAGTTGAAGCCAATAAATGAGTCAAATCCCTCCGGTGTTGCGGCACTAATTGTCCCATCACTAGGACTGGAACTTGTCCCAATTGAACGGTTATTGAAGGAATTTTGCGTAGTACTCTCAGACGAACCGTCTTGGGAGGAATTTGGAGATTTTTTCGTCCAGTTTTGAAGCAAACGCGCAATATTTTCAGTACTCGAAGCATATGTTGATGTTTGAATTGGTTTAGTTTCTGAAAGGTTTATTGGAAAGGGCTTTGAATCAGGCGAACTTGTGTTCCATTTGTCTAAGGACAAGGCTTCACATAGGGCTTGTTTGGCCATGTGAATATCCGTTTGAAGCCTCCTCTCCCACTGGCCTTTTGGAATTGATTGAGAAACTGACCTCCCTTCTTGGTTTGGTTCATCATCCCCTTGTCGTTTCTTCAGCTTCTTTTTCAAATGAGTGTTCCAATAATTCTTGATATCATTGTCGGTTCGTTGCGGAAGGTATGAAGCTATGGCAGCCCATCTGCACCATAAACCAAAAATAGCATACCATTATTGAGATCCCTAAAAAATTTTCAGAACAATATAATAGACAAGATTTTTAAATTTTCCTCTACCACGTTGTCTGATCGATCCACGCTACCAAACATCCCATAAAAGGATTAAAAAAAAAACTTCTTGTTGGGATTTGGGAGAAAATATATAGTTAGATCTAACCCTAATTCAAGAGAAACAAGATCTTGGTATGGCCTGATTTTCTGTCTGTGTGCATAACAAAATAAGATTTATATATACCGGTTGCCAAGAAGTGCTTGAAGGTGTATAATCATCTTCTCCTCATGGTCGGTGAAGTTACCACGCTTGATCCCAGGCCGGAGATAATTAGTCCATCTCAGCCTGCAACTCTTACTGCATCTAAGCAAACCTGAGAGAGGGACACAGTAGGAAAAGAAGTTGTGAGTAACACAAACTAAATCAAATAAAAATAAAACAAAATAAAATTTGTTTGATCTTTACGTGCATTCAAGACTGACGGTGGTGTAGCTACATAATATTAATTACACAGCTTTAAATGATTATAACTAAACAAAAATAAGAAGGGGGAATTAAAGAGCAAAACACGTAATTTTTACCAGTATTGGTAGGAACAGCTCTCCAATTTCCAGTACCATGTTCTTGAATGTATGAAACCAAGATGATGTCTTCCTCAGGAGTCCATGGCCCTTTCTTAACACCAATTTTATCACAGCAAGGTGGTCTTCCCATATCACTTGGAATTTGCCAAACTAGGGTTCGTCTCTCTCTAGAGGTTGCTTTATATTTTTCTTTCTTTAGAGTGAAAATGGAGAGACAAGAGTTTAAACTGATGGAATTGCCTTTGTCTGTTGGAATATATATAGAAGAGACCCAAGGGCTGACTAATTCGTCATAGGGAAGAGAGAGAGAGGGTATTATCTTCTTCTCCTATAGAGTCAAAGAAGACAGCAACAAGCATTTACTCCATCGTTTGCAAAAAGTCAGCTGTTTGCTTTGTGATACGCCCCCCGGCCATCTCTCTCTATCTCTTTCCGCCTGAGAAAACCGCGTGGCATTCAATGTCAAAAAATATTTACTTCTTCAAATTTAATTTCACCTCATCCATTTTTTACCACCCTGGAAGTGAACGGTAGCTGTAATTATGTATGACGGTGTTAAGAAAGCAAAATTCGTAAGTTCCCGACTACTATGACAACTGCAAACTCATCTAGTGCAATGGCTTGGTATAAAAGCCTTGACCATTTTCAGAAGTTCTAGTACTTGTTTTGGCTAAGCTTTAAGTGCTTATAAGCAATCACTTTCAGTAAATATGCATTTAAAAAGTAGGTAAAAGTTGTGGATTCTTATAAATGTGTAGTAAAAATAATATTTGACCAGTTTATAATTAATTAAATGCATTTACTGATCAAAGACTGTAAGAGAGGATTACTCTACATTTAACCACACTATGGTGACCTTCAAAGCCATCTTTTTCTAGTTGTGGGACGAAATTTTACTTGCTATCAATAACCATCCCAACAATAAGTTCTACGTATATAAATAAATACATTGCTTCCCAAAACTGACATGCTTATTCTTCCAATGAGGTAGGAATTTCCCGTATTATGTATATGTTTTTTTGTGGCTCAGACGAGTATTCTTGTCTATATCGTCATGTATATGAACACTTTCTTTTTCCTATTAATAAACCTTCCCTTTTCCTTTACAAACTTGAAGATCAAATAAAATAGATAGTATTTTGTCATTTGCTATATGCTAATTTGGTTGGTTTTAAAAAATTGAATTACTAATCTTTAAAAAATCAATGTTCTTGGGTTTTTGAGGATTTGGAGTATGAGTTATGATAGCTGATCCAGTTTTAACAAAGATATTTTTGTCCCACGACTTAAATTTAACTAAAAATAACGAGGATGTCGACAATTTTATCCCTGAAACAATGAACGACATCTATAACTATATAGATGTTCAAAGACTGAATTTTATGTAAAGCGTGTATTTTGAATTGCCAAGAAAAATACCTAAGAATTAATTACTCCAATAACTTAATCAAGCGTATATAATATTTGGAATACACGACATATCTTTCAACTTCATTACTCATGATAGAACAATGGTGGATAGAGATTAAGTAGTTACTTTCAATCTTTTTATTATTCTAATCATATATAGTGCAATAATCATTATAATTAAGTATGTCATAATCGATAGTTAAGAATCAATCAGCTAATCAATATCAATGTCACTATGAATTAAGTGCCAAACGATAATCGTGTGTAATTTTGGTGAAATTTGAACTCAAGACTTCGTACTTGTGTGATTTCTGTCGTGCAACTCAATTTACATCCTATTTAATTTTCATTTCAACGGGAAATAAATTGTAGGAAATATTGTCTAATTAAAATTAATCCTCAATCCAAATGCAAAATTAAATTGAATTTGGTGTATCGATCAGTAGTCCGTATTTAATTTGTATTTTGAAATATTCACTCACAAAAGTGGAAATCTCTATTTGCAAAGAAATTTTGTTGAATTATTAGAGTAATATATCGACTGGAAAAACCTAGTAAATTAATGTGTACAAGTGAGAAAGGAGACTGATTGGTTTACTTGTCACATACATAATTGGGTATTCAAGAAATTAGCAAGGTACTAAAATATGGACCAGTCCAACTAAGTCTTCTTTATATAATTCCACGGATGTATATACATCATTAATTTCATTATGGATGACTCATCAATTAATTATGCTCATAAATCTCTAAAGAAATGAGAATAATTCCTTATGTACAGAAAATATTGCCAGATTTTGTACAGAATTTTAAATTGGAAAAATCTCGTGCGTGATTCTGTGTTTTCTCTCCTCCATGTTTGAATCCAGTCCATCCATTTCAAATTTATGTGTATATTCTGTGAAATTTTCCTGTACTCGTAGTATAGTTCAAGAACTGAATATGTGAATTCAAATTTCAACATCTCATTTAATTTGACAGAGAAAGGAGTGGACACTAGACAGTCGATAATATATACATATATTGAAGTTCCGATATAAATAATTTAATTTCTATATGTTGGTCTATATTTTGTATTAACGTTTTTCCATTCATTTTGAACATTAGCAAGGGAGAAATTTAACATGCGGGGTTGTTTTGGGATCATCCGCTCGCTCTTGATTTTTGTGGGCATAGGAAGTGCACACTTCAACTCGATTAAAATTTTGTACGTTAGTTTAACTTGACGTGTAGAATCCAATATAGAATATTTCCCTAATCTCAAAGTTTACGCGTTTTAGTTATACGAAAAACACCTTATAAGTGGTATTTAATTTCCACATTATGCTGTACAATAACTAAGTACTACTGCATCTAGCCTGACAAGAGAAAAATAATTATCACTTTTGGAAAATATAATTAATTATTTTTAATTAGTCTAGTCAGTACTACTATCAAATAAAAGATATTGAAGGCAGGAATTTTAGCTGAATTATTTAATTGGTGGATTTTCTAAATAAAGCGTGGAATATTTGCATCTTTCATTTTGTTTTTGTTTTTCAATAGATTTAAGAAAATGTTGAGCTCTCTAACACTTCATTGACATTTGAGTTAGGTCTCATTTTCAAGTAAATTTACATTTTATATTACACGACATATATAGATCCATCTTGTGTAAGAATTTGTGACAATGAGGATGATAATTGGATTTAAGTAAAGAATAAAAGAAAGATAAAATGTAATCTTTTTTTTAAAAGCATAAATGATTCGATACTGTATTTTGGATCATGAAGAAAGAAACGGACTCATTAATAATCGAAAGAAAGAACGCAAATATCGAATAAACTTATATTAAACCAAGCTAAGAAAATTCATAGTGTGACAAGACGATATATTTCTATAAGCCCATGTTTGTCATCCATTTTATCAAACATTATTTACTACAGTAAACAATATTCACCACATATTCTTTCAATAAAATATTATACACACAAATCAATAAAATTACTTTACTTTTCAACCACACATTCTCCAAAACAGGGACGAATTTAGAGGTGGCTGGACCGGGGCCCTGGCCCATTTCATTTTTTTTAGTAGAAAAAAATTATGTAAAAAGAAAATTTCTTGTGTAATTTTTTTTTTTTTTTTTTACGTATTAACCCGATCTGTAATTCAGTCTTGGATCCGCCCCTGCTCCAAAAAATACTATTCAAAACTTTATTTCTTCTCCCAAAATGGGAGACAAACAATCACTAACTATCAACCAAGTTTGGGAAGTTATAGCATGGTCCAAAGCACAAAGGGAAGAACTTCATAGCACGAGCAATATTTACACAGAAAATGGTTAAGTTATGATTCAAAATAAATAAATAAATAAATACGGTAATTTTTTTTTTCCCCTTTTTGTGGACCGATTCTCGACTTTTTATGTAATTGTATTTTTTGAAATCGTCTATGTTGAAGAAAGAGTGAGCTAATGGGCATAAAAGCAACGTATACTAAGAGACCAAATTGAAGTAATTAAAAGTCGGCGAATGCTAAATTGTCCTTTAGTTTGATGTGGGCTTGCGGTGGAATGACCCCTTTTTTACATTGAACCCGTTCCGTTTTCAATTGTGGATAGAGCTTCACCCCGTCATTCAATTTATGACAATTACATCTCAATTGAGAAAATTGAAACTAGAAGACAAACAAATATATAAAAGAAGGGGTAGAAAAAGAGAAAAAGGGATTGAATTCTAGTTCTTGGTCGTGTTTAAAATTGAGTTTTTTCAACAACACACGTATCAAAATACTGAAATCAAGGACTTTTAAAATAATTGCAAGAGTTGAAAACGAGATGAGTGTTGGCAAAATAAATAAAATGTTAACGATAAGTTTCGAATTGAATAAAGATGAAAGTTTAGACCAATTTATAGGGCTTTAAAATATTCCAAATAAGATTAACAGTTTAAGATGAAATCATAAATCTTAATATAATATCAGAGTTCATTAAATTCCAACGAGAATTTAATTTGATTAAAACTCAAATACAAGGATAAGGATTTCATGATTAGTGTGTTCAAACGAGCTGTCATCTTGTGGGGACATGTTAAGATATAAATCTCTCATCAACTAAAAATGAAAATATAGATCAACGTATAGAGACTTAGCTACTGCTCTTAACAAAGTTGACCTTTTAAGATGGAGCCTTAAATCTTATCATCGAATAAAGATAAAAACATAAATCAACATATGAGTTTGAACTGCTTCTCTTAACAAGATTGATATTTTAAGATGGAACTCAAAATCTTAATACAAATAACAAAACGTTCATTCTTGAGCACGATCAATGCATGAAGTTATTGTTCTCGGTAAAAGAGAGAAAAAAAAAACGAAGATTGAAAGTAGAGAGGAGATAGAAAATGGGAACAAGGGAAAATGTGTTTCACTATGAAATATCCAAGATTATCAAGACATACATGCATTGAGTTGATGTTGTGTTTATGTGGTTTGTATTTGATTGTACGAGTATGTCTACCAGTTTAAAAAATGCTTTCAATGTTCAAAACAATAAAAGAAACGCACAGTATCTCATTGTTTTTTATGCTTAGCCAAACGTGATAAACTACTAATATAATTTGGATTTAAACTAATAGTTATTAAACATGACTCGAATTGTCGGGTCATCGAGAGCCGATGAACTTGCTAGTTAACTGGACCAGTTCTCTAATGATCTAAATAAGACATCGAACCATGAAA